TAATAATATTTTTTATTAATTTATCCTTATAGGTATCTCACAATAGTTTCGACGTTTTTTATCATTTCTCCGAAATAAAACGTGCAGTCGATCTGTTATCCATCTCGAGTTCGTCCCGAGATGGCTTAGCCATTTGAATTATTTTTGCCGGTTATGAACGCTCGCACACTCTCCGTCTGTATGTCTCTCTCTCTCTCTCTCTCTCTCTCTCTCTCTCAAACGGATAATTATTATAATATTATAACTGAATAAGTTACGAACCGAACGCCGCTTTATAAATCACGTATTTATAATTAACCCACTATGTCATCCGTGGACCGTGACGTGTTTCTATTTAGTATATACAGCTATAGCGTTTAATACCATAATAATGATAACTATAATAAGGGTGTATAAACGAGAACCTCTCGCTCTCTTTCAACCCTCTACTCGGGGTTTGCGCGCCGTATGTCGCGAATATCGTTCAATTTTCGTCCCTTAACTATATATAGTACGCGCTTAACATCATGTCGAGGACGCGCTCCGATAGCAAYATTTTAATTTTCACCGCTCTATAACCGTATAAAAACAGCACACCTAATCACTGACCTTTGACAAAAATCCGTATACTATATTATATAATACTGTGTAATAAAACATCGAAAACATTATATCGAAACACTGCTCTGCGATTTCATAGACTATAATATATTGATCTGTTAACATCGATACTACAATTTTTTTTACCAAATGATTCACCAAGCATGCTAACCCCGCTTTTTCCTTCAGTAATTCAATTGTTCAAAACATGGTTTTCGGAATTTTTAATTCATACCTACTTAAATATTATATTTTGAAGATTTTGAGATTTTTTGTACTAAAATGTCTTATTGGTGTACATACTTTTTTCAAAAAGGTGTTCTTAACCCTCGCTGTCTAKAGTAAATTGGTTAGCGGATAATTTTTTTGAAATGACGTTATCAAATTTAAAATTTAAACAAGTCGTCAATGCAGGTACATAGAAATGATGTAATATGAATGGTTAGAAGATATATTATGAGCTATAGTGATTTTAAAATTATAGTTAATATTAATCTATCAATAGTTATAATTTATAAAAAAGCGGGTAAGCCGTAGATGTCGCTCTGTTGTACAGTAGGTTACAAGTGGGTTACTGTAATAGATGGAATTAAATTTGAAGCCAATGATATTAAATCATTGTATACGAAAAACGATTCTGAGCGGAGACGGTTTATCTGTCTAGGATATATTATATAGATTATTAAAAATTTTCAAATGTTAAATTTAAAAAGAAATTTTTTTATGAATTTCTAGCTTAAAATAATTTATGAATTCGTTGTGAAATCATTGTTTGGGACAATAATTTTCATTACAAACATTTTATAACTGATAAACTCGTTCAAATTTTGAATTAAGTTGGTATGTCCACATAAAAAAAAACTACGATTAATTAATTTACATTATAACAAAGGGGGTTTGTGTTTAAAAAACGAAAGTTTATATTTCTATGAGACTCTTTTCAACTTAAGTAACAACACAAAATCTCAAGAAATTACACGTGTGGTGGTTAGTATGTATATTAATTAACTCCAAAAATCATAATTTATAAATAAATTCATTATTAAAATTAAAATAAAACTATCGTCAAATATGCTTTAAAAATTGTAAAATTAAGAAATATAATTGATTTAGTACTACGACGTAGGTGAACAATTCAGAAATAAACAAAATATATATTTGTATAATATTATTTTGAAATTGAAACTATGTAATGTAGTATTTAAATTTTTATTATTTATTAATTTTGAACAAAATAATTGATTCTATACTATTGTTTATTAATATTCAAAAATAAACATATCTATTTTTTTTTTTTTATTGAACGTATAAACATTGGCTACTGGGTCATTAGTTGTAGATTACATTTTTTTTAATCTTATTATTATTGTTCTTAAAATGTAGCTATGTCTACTCTGTATAATTATTACAGTAAAAACAATAAATTAGATACAGTAACAATAAAACAGTATACAAAATAAAAATTATTTTTGAGTACTCCACCCATCGATTTATATTCGTTAATAAACTGGTTTTATGTAAGCAATAATGATTGTGATGAGTGCAAAATTTGAACATTGCCTTCTTGTATCCTGAGTGCAAATTGACAAACATAAGTGCAATCAGACATAAGATGTTCGCGTGATATCGATGCATGACGGTGAAATTTATACGATTTATCCATATACTAAATCTGTTAAATCAGTATTGCAATTTTATTACCCAAGTGTGGCGAAAAACTATCGAAGCTCTTATACTATAAATTTATAAATAAACGTAATAAAGAATAATAMGTTTGTTATTCTTCATTGATTTCTAACATTGAGCGTTATCGATTAATTGGTACCAACACTTTTTATTCTTCAGTTCAAAGTGCCAAAATCAGACAAAATAAAACTATAATTACGATTTATTGTCGATTACACCTTGATATTGAATAATGYATTAGATGTTGCAGTGTTGCACTTCAAATATTAAATGTTCACTGCAAGTATTGCCTATAGATGCACGTTAGGAATCGCGTTGGGCCATTAACGCCAACGTCTTTCACAATATTTTTTTTTCAATACGCGTTTATTGGTGTTATCGACATTCAAAGTCTTATATTAATATTATTTATAACTGCGGTAAACCACTTAAAATCGAAATATTAATATTATTACAGTTTAATATTACCTATATATACAATATACATATAACAAGAATCAATATAATATAATTTTACACTTCTTGAAGGCTATTATTGTAATATGAAGCATCCACGGATTCGTATCCTGGAACTTTTTAAAAAGTAGGTACCTACATCAATTTTATCAGCAAATAGACATTGGCAACTGTATAAAGAACGATTATATATTTTTGTACGATTTGTTTGATTGTTTCTATACAATTACCTATGGACTTGATACTGTTCACTGTAAAAGTCTTGGAAAACTCACTACGTCGTTATAAATAGTCATCCAAGTAGTATTTGATGAGACATTACAACTYATATAGCATACAATAAACGCGATTCCCTAGGGGAAAACATTTTCTGGTTTTATCAATGGAAAATGTTGTAATTTTGATTTTAAAAACARAATAAAATATATTTATACATAGGTTAATAWATAAACTTTTATTGAGTTAAAGACATTTTTCATTTGACATACATTCAATGCATATATATTTTAAAGTGTGCTAACACAATAATCACAACGATCACGTGCTTAACGCGTTCAATATAATACACTGTCAGTTGAWTGTTTCTCTCTTAGATGTAATTAACCACTCATAAAAAGTCTGATGAATAATAATAATTATAAACAAAAACACATCCCCCTAAACCTATGACTGACTACATGTTATTTTATTTTTGCATTRGAATATTATATTTTTGTATCATATCGTGCTCCGCTTTTTCACAAGGAATTCGCGTTTGGAGAGTTGGCTATGGCACGCTTAGCCGGCGCACAGCAATAGAACTGATCGTTGCACACAAAGTTGTACATGTCCACCAAAAAAATTGTTTTGGCGTCCAGTTGTTGACAGTTATACGGCAAGTCGAAGTCATGTTTCCTGGTCAAGTCGTTAATGTCGTTCGGCTGCAAGTACGGCCAGTATTCCACCATGTTCACTTGTTCCTGAACGATAAAAAAATTAGTCAATATTTTCGGTTTTATGGTTTTATTCAACGTGACAAAAAAAATGCAGCTTCGTCGTTTTTTGAAATCAATAACAATAATAATGTCACTATCGAATGGTAAAAATATCAATTCAATTAAATGCAAGATGATAATATAATATTGTTTCAACCTATAGTCCATTTCTAAATTCTATGTAAGCGTCATAGCATGTAGACAATTTAGAAAGCTCACAAAGGTTGAAATTTAATTATTCAACATACAAATCAAATCTCAAATATGAATCTCGTGTAAAAATATATTTAAGTATATTATGTTATTGTACATACTAGAGGTGTACCTAATCATCGTGTCTTATGCACATTGCACAGTACTGTCTTAGATTCGGCTTACATAAAAARCGATCCGAATTAATACCACATTCAAACTATTATGAAACACTGAAGTAGGTATAAGTTCAATAATCAACAATATTATATAGATTATAATAGAGTATATAGATGTTCTAAATAGTAGATGTTCTACGAGGATTCGACAAACAACGTTTACAACAATCCTATAACGCTGAATATAATAAATAATAAAACCATTTTATAGAACAGCATCCGTCCAATACCATAATATAGAGAAACCTATATTATGTTTTATAATTATTAGTACCTATCTAAATTATTGTACAGACGATAAAACTGTAGCGATAACTACAATACTGTTATCGTCTTGATCTCGCGGATGTTTTTACACTCACTTTGCTTAATGATCTTTTCGGCGATTCCTGAATATCGTTGTTCCTACGGCCGATCCTGGGCACCGACTTCGACGCYTTCAGGAAAAATTCCTCTCCCGCGAACCCACGGCGAGTGATTTTCGGGTACGCACTTGCATCCTTCATTATGACGTCACTGGCCGTTTCGAACTGATCACTGCGTTCGATCCTGGACGCGGTCTGTTTGTCGTCCATGTCCGYCAACCAAATATTTTGTATTTTCTTTTCCGGGAATTCGTTGATCGACATTACGCACAGTACTTGCAAACACACCAAACCTACAAAAGTGCAGACAATATAATATGTGTCAGGTGCATGAGTATTGTGTGCATAAGTGCAATAATGTGACTTCAGACAGTTATCCTCTAGTCGATTCGCGTTGGAAAAATATTAAATGCGTGACACCTATATGACGATGTACCAAATGAATTATGCGTTTCGAACATTTATATTGAACGAGGTCCCAGTAAAAATACTTAGATRAAAATATGTTTGGGACTTTTGATTAAATGAAACATCAGAAATGTATATAGGTAATATGTTGTAAAATACTAAAATAATGTAGAGATGTGTTTCTGTTTTTGGTTTTCGTAAAAACGAGCCTTCGTGGTACAACGGTTCATGTAGGTAGGTATAACAATGTTATTGTAACTTAAAAACTGTTTTAMTAGAATGATTGACCCGTAAACTAGCTAGCCATTATAATAATACCTATATGTTAAGATTACCTATCGATAAATAATATGAAATAAAATTATTTATAAAACTTTTTATTCGTATTATTATGATTTATATGGATACGTCCTCATTAACTTTTAATAATGTATATAAATATAATCATACAAGCACACGTGTGTGTGTTGATACCTACTTTCAAATTCATATGATATATTTATATTTAATTTAATTTATCTATATCTTAATAGATCTTGTTTGATTACAGGTGATTTATTTTATTTTAATGTGTGCTGAAAAATAAAGTAAAATAATTTTTATGTAATTAATTGATTTTAATTATTATTTACTTTAATTTTCTATGCACATCGCGTGATCTAATAAATAATAAATGGGTTTGTTCTCAGTTTTTTTTTACTAAAAATAATCATGACGTGTTTTCATTTTAGGACGAACCCATTTTCTAATAAGTATAATATAAGGTTTAACATTAAGCATAATATTATAATGTTGAGAAAAGTGTTAACATACCATTATTGTATATAAATTACAAAAATAATTTAGAAGAAATATTTTAACTAATTGCCGATTTTCCAGGTAAGCTATAAATATAAAAAGATTTTGTTGTGTTTCCCTTCAAACAACAGTTCATCGATACCACTGTAATAATTATGAACACGCGTATGATTTTTGTTATATATATAATTCTTTATCGATTTAATAATTAATATATTTAAATATATAGGTACATAACTTTAATAACAACTATTAGTTCATGTCCCATTATAGAATAAATTGAAAGTTGTAACCTACATGCACTAGACCCCGGATTATTAARAATACATCAACATTTGTGAGTTTGTGACCTACGTGCGCAAATCCGTGGATATTATAATAACTTTAAGATTAATTGGCAAATGATTATTATTCATTATTAGTTAACCAA